TTACGTTGCGTCATCGAATTTCAATCGAAAGCAGCAGATAAAATATGCTCCCTGTTCATGCAGCACCAGGTCTGGAACATTGGCGATTGGAATGACGGGCATTGTGAGTTGACAAATTGAAACCAGTCGACATTTTCTCTCCTTTTTATAGTAATGCTTCTAATTTTTTTTGTCATTCGATGGCATTACCTTTTTTTTCTCTTCCGCGAAATATTCTTGTTTGAAACATTTTGTGCTCTGCTGCCAAACCGTGACCTAAAATCTGGATTCAAAAATTTAAAATTTTAGATCTTGCACTGTGCTTGTTTTCCTCAATTTATAAAAAATACGGTTCGCTTTTTGAATATTCAAGAAACGTACTTGGAGCTTAATTCATCCAGTTGTTCACGGATTCCAGTTCTGTCTATGAGTAATTCAAAGTTTATTTGAAATGTATAATAGTACCTATTTTCAGCTGAAATCATGCACTTCTGTATTTTCTTTACGAGATTTCAGTTCGGCAACGTATGATTCTTTTCTGCCTCTGAATAGCAGGTGAAAAAGAATTTGCCGAGAAAGTTATGATGAAATATGCATAAAATACCAAGCAGAACTTCAAGTACACTTGTGAAATACGTTTAAAACGTGCTCTTTTTGAGCTTAATGATTTGATAATTGCTCTCGTGGGTCGAATTATCTTTCGATATCCGCGTTTCTTTTTTTTTCTGCTAGATGAGACTCGTTCTTCTGAAGTGAATATTTTTCGATGCAGGATGAACGTATGATTTCATTATCCCCAGGTTTATGGAATCCTGGTGATAGCAGTATCAGTTATTAGCCTGTCAACCGGTTATGATTATGATGAAAACGACACGTACAAGGAAAATTGTGAGTGGATCAAATAAATAGATGAGATGAAGCGCACAAATCTATTCCAACATCTGAAATTCTTCAACAGTATTCAAAAATCTGCAATATACTGCGATGGGCATGGGTGTGTTGTTCATCATATCCTCCTGCTTGCTCGTCCACGGAGTTCAAAAGGTATTTAAAATAATGTCTCTGAAATTCCTCTTTTCGTCGCTTTCATTCGATGTCGTATGCTAATGCGATTTTGAATTTTTCGAATGTGCAGGAAAACAGATTTTTCCAAATTCCATGGCTCGTTTGCACGGGGTTGCAAATCGTCGAAATTTTCATCGGTGCCGTGATGACGTTTGTGTCGCTGAATGTGACAGCTTCTATGATTTTTGCACTGGTCCTGAATATGATTGTTGGAGCCGGATTTTGCTATTGTTTCTTCGTCGTCTACCAGCATTATCAACTTCTTATATTCTTGGCCAAGCCCGAAGCATTGCGGTTTGAGATCGAAAATCAACGCAAATAGTTGCCGGGGAATTAGCTCCTCGTTTTTTTAAAAAATTGTTTCTGAGGCGAATGAAAAATTCCGTGGCTTTTTTCTAGTGAACAATGTGTGGATGTATTTTCGACAATCAGCCGTGGAAGTGCATCCCTTTTTTTTTGATGAATGATCCGTTTTTTGAAAGGATACAAGCCTTGTTGTGCGAACATTTTGGAATACGAGATTACATTTTCAAGTTTATTTCGAATCGTTATTTCGAAAGAGATTTATTTTGCACTTCGTTCAAGAACAGAATGAGCGATTTGTTTTCAATGAAATCCAGGATTCCTCCCTTCTTTTTTTTCAAGGACGGAAGATTTCATTCATTTAGTCCATCCGCTGTCATCATTTTTATCTTTCAGTACACTATTGAGCTTCCGCAAGTGTTGAAGGGAGGCCTGGGATGAACTCTCTTCGAAGATTGTGTCACAGATGTCGCTGTAACAGTGTGCGTCTGCCCACATAGCTTCGTAATTACGGCGTTGGTCTTGATCCTCGGCTCGACGTCGGGTGCGACATCTTTTAGGGTCGCGGACATTCGGTACGGTGCAAACGTTGAACATCTCCTGGTTGCGCTTCGGAAGGTACGCTTTTATGCACCACAATGGAAGACCTGATACCTGCGCTTCTGGGATTGTTTTCTCTCCTGATTTCTTAGAAGATGTCACTGCAAAAATTCAGAGATATTATGCTGCGTTTACTGGAATGACAATGTGCGCACTCATGTATGACGCACACATTTTAGACACACAGTTTTTAGAAAAATGTTCCGCCACGAAAGACGCAAAAAACTCGTTTTTGAATGCTTTCTGGGTGGTCTACTACGAAAGCAAACGTATTTCAAAACTAATTACGTCATGCATTAACTGCTGCTGTAGTTTGGATCTTCAATTGTTTCTGCCAACGATGTATTTATCACTTCAAAACACAACTGATTCTAATTCTTTGAGACGATGCACGAAATGAATCCAAACCTGGAATCTATTTCAAAGACAAGAAAATGATATCAGTTTATACTTTTACAGATGCAGCTATTATTAGAGACCTGCTAATATTTTACTACTTTCCCTCAGAAGCTTTGGACCTTCCCAACTCGAACATCCCTCAGTCAAAAGCCTTCCTATGTCAGATTTTTGTTTTAAGGATTCATTTCAGAACTATTTAATATACATAGCCCTCCTTAACTTGAAAACTTTGCCATTTGAACCTCTGTAACTCAAATTTCTAACTGTATTTTGGCTAACAATCTGCTGGGAACACAGGAAAGACAAAACGTAACCTGATGTTTTTCACAAGGAAATGAGTGAGTGCAATAATTTGGAAAATTTATTCTAGCCTCCAAGTTCAGCAGCATCCTGCCAACGCATTTACCCAGCAATTTGAGGCACAGAAGATCACCATCGTCTCGTTTTGAAATTCTTCATTTTTTTTAACTTGAAAAAGCTGGCTTCCCTCATTCAAAAACGTCTCGAGTACATTTGTTGGCCCTTCGAAGTTGAATGTGAGCTTCACATCCCCATCATGTTCACATAAAACTCAGGATAATTGTGAACAATATTTTTTTTGAATTTACACAGCTAAAATATATTTATTTTGCATGATGCCTTCTTCCAATGATGATATGAAGAAGGAAGCTTTTGAAAAAAAAAACACGTGTGATTCCCTCATGTTGGCACTTTGAGCTTAAAATTATTTATTTTGACTTTTTCTCTTATGAAACACCCTGACTGGTCTAAAAATTCTGTGAAAAAGCTTACTTTTTTTAATTATGGAAACCCTAAACTGGACCTCTTTCTCATATAATACCATCAATTTAGTGCCACCCTTGCTTATATAGAACCATAAACTGGGCCAGGGAAAGGGTGGCACTAAAGTGGGGTTTAACTGTACATCTTTGTGAGGAAATAAATTCGCTTCACAAAAGGGTGGATAAATTTGCTTTGAATTGGTCAGAAGAGAAAAAGTTCAAATTTTGCTAAAGGTCAAGAAGCTTATTAGTCAATGAATTCTCAGATCCAAGTCGGTAAGAAAGCTTGGGTGAATTCCACAATTAAAATGAGAAACAAAACCAGATCAAACAGCCGGGCTGCGGCCAAGACTTTGCACCATAGTATAAATTGATATACAGTATTACTCAAGAATTTGAAATGCAAGCAACAGCTTTTAGAGTCTTCAACACTTTTTGCAAGAAGTCAGAAAATTACTGCAATTTTGGAACTGCTAAAATTTGCACGCAAAGTGGTTCTCCCGGAGATCCGTTCGATTCAACAGCAGACTGCAGAGTGAGTTTCTAACTGGGTTTTGATCAACAAAAACAACTCTTTGGATTAGGCTGGAGGTCAGGATTGACCACTTTCATTGAAAGTGAAATTCTTATTCTTCAGGGAGCCTGGGAACCAAACCTGGGTTTGGTTAAACCTGGGTTTGGTTCTCAGGCTCTGGGGGAATGTGTTTCAGAAGATTATTGCCAATTCAGACTGGCGTCGTCTATGTAGGGCAACAAGCCCACAAAGAATTTGAATGAATGGAAGAATAAAATAAATGAGTAAAAATGCACAATCCGCCAGGGAACACGGCAGCAGGGAGCCCATCAGTATAAGGACTCCAAAGAGAAGCAAATTGTATTTCAAAGCAATGAGATAAAATATTTGTAAAAATCACAAGTGCGAATCTCATAGTAAAAATATGAATTCAGAATGCACAAGACAAATTCTTCACACATCCCAATGCTTCGAGAATAGCAAATGTAATGCAAAAATAAGTCATCACAGAAAAAGACAAGATTTACGATTGCGCAATTTGCGGCAGCAGGAGCTTCCAAGGAACTTCCCACTGCCGCATTCCAACAGTTCGGGTTTTTTAATCTATAACAATTGCGCGTATTTTACTTGTTTCATGGGACGTGCCCTCTGTGCCCCACAGTCTAAATGGGCAACTTCTTCTTCTGAAACTCGAATTTTTCCTGACAGTCTTCGCTGCTTATAGTAAAAAATAAGAAATAAAATCAATTCACCCAATGGTGGGTCGATGCGTCGATGATGACTGTCATTGCTGTCCCTCATGAACGACGAAGTTGCTCCCTTGCTGCCCACGAGCTTCCACATGCTCAACTGCAGCAGCCATTGCCGCATGGTTGCATGCTTGGCAGGACACGGCTGCTGCTCAGTAGCCACTTGAGATGATTCATGCTGCTGATGCTCACCACTGCAGGGCTGCTGCTGACAGCAACACGGTTCTGCAGCAGGCGCAGCCTCAGTGGGTTCAACGCATGCTGGCTGCTGTGGACAGGGTGTGTCCTCTGGCGGACAACACTGGGGATCGGAATCCCTGGGTGGGCTGCAACCCGTCGGGGCCGCGAGCCCGCAGCAACGAAGCGCAGTCAACGTGTACAATATGGCGGATAGTATGAGCAACACCATGAGTACGATGGACGCAGTGTTTAGCTGACGCAGGGCGAATCGGCAAAATACCAAGGCGTCCCAAGAAATGATGTACGCGATTATGATCACGGTTCCGATTATGAATGGTGGGAAAAGTGGCCATGCGTTCTATGAATGAATGAACAGAACACTTTATTTGCCGCTTTTCAGCGTTCACAAGGTTAGCTTGTTTCTGTATGAGGTTTAGTTGAATGGACAAATTACAGAGAATCTTTGATGAGAAATCATATAAAGCCAACAGTTTATCTTGATCCTTTGAGATTTCAGCGTTCTAGAACCAGAGAGCGTGAGAAAAAATGACCAAATTCTTAGAATTTTATCCCCCCCCCCCCACACACAAGAAAATGAATTCAAAAGATCACGCAGCATATATGACATTGAATTGGGTCTTAAATTACAACGTTGAGCACATTTTTTTTGGCACATGAGCGAGTGCCTCTGTTCAACACAGTTTCAACGACAGAAATCATTTTCGAATTTGTATAAAAAATGATATGATCCATTTTTCATTTGCTCAACATTCCGGATGTAGTTGTAATGTTAATGAAATGTATTAAAATGCGTCTTATTCTTTATATCATTTGTTTTGCACAAACATGTTTGCAGGCATGGACTTTCTACAACGAGTTTCTTTCTGTAAAACAAATTTTTTCGTCACATGGGGGTTCTCTAACACGAACCTCTCACAGTGACGATTTTTTCTGGTCCCCAAGAATTTCGTTTTTTGGGGCGCAGAAAAACAGAGGGGCGTTATTTCCCGAATATGCCAAGAAAAATCGCCATGATGGTAGCATAAAACGTATCCAGACAATTCAGAACAAAAACCACATACACAATTCGAATGGGTAAATACTGTACCTTCATTTATACTTATGACAAATAATATTAGTGGGTTAGATTGCGAGGTGAAATATCACTAAATCAAATAAATTCCCCGCGGATACTAGCTCTGCAATTCAATTGGTAAATTTACAATAACTTTATAATGTGGAAAGGTAGTACAGTATAGTTTTACGCATAGCAGAGGAATTGAATGCTTGAGAACTTCCTGAAAAAAATATTTGAAGAAAGACCCTTATTATCTCATTCCATTTAAAATTTCAGAAATTTATGCATGGTCCACTCACCAGGAATGCGCCGAAAATCAGAAGCAATGCCGAGATCGAATAGAGCATAGAGAATCGTCCAGCTGAATCGCATTGGACCATCTGTGCCACTGCCAAGGATACTAATCAGTAGTGTCCCAAAGAATGCGATTTCAACAGTGAAATAATTACATCTGATTTAAAATTATTTCATTCAAAGATGTGATAATTTACGCTAGAGCCTTTATCAAGACCTCTGAACGCGTAAGATTTGGTACTTTCCTGTTATCTCAGTACCTACTTTCCTGTTATCTCTGTACTTTCCCTCTGACCAATTTAACCTGACTACCTAACTTCACCTAACCGCCTCCCAAAATCAGTTTCTGCTTTCTTTGGGTTCCTGCTGATGCCAGGTTATGTTAATTGAAAGATATTTGTAACCAACATAACCTGACCTAACCTAACTTTACCTAACCGCCTCCCAAAATATGTTTCAGCAGAATGCGGAACAATAAAATTCAGTTTCTGGTACTTCAACGTGATGATGAACTTGTCCTAAAGATTTGTCTGGATGGTAGTGTGATCTAGGAATAAGGTACTGAGATAACAGGAAAGTACCTAAGATTTTTTGAACTTCACTCAAAAAAATGAGGCTCTCTGATTTTGACAAAACCAATAACTCAAGCTGAAAAATAAATGATGAAAAATGCTTTTGAATGACTGTAGCAATTTATTCGGCAGTGATTTTCAAAGCTGCCTCGACGAAATGATCTGCATAGTTTCGAACATTTTGAAAATTTTTTTTTAAGATATTCAATCAGAAAACTCACCCGTGCCCTTGCAATTCCCTCCAGTGTAATCTTGCCAAGCGCACATGAGATTGATCACTCCGTAAATCTATTCAGAAGTGTTTGAAAAAATAAAACACCTTATGCTCCGACTGGAAATGAGCGATGTTTAAACTTACAAGTCCTAGAACACCTAGCATGCCTCCTAGGATTCGCCAAAATACTGGAACTCTGAAGCATAAAATTCCATCCAATGCACGGAGCAAGCAGATGATTCTATTTCCGCAACAACCTTTCATGACTTTTTCATAGCATTTACTTATTGCCTGCTGGGGGAAAATGAATCATAGGGAAGGGAAACCATGATGAAAGCCGCGATTAAAATTTGTTTTTGTGCATAAAAAGGAAGTCGGAAAGGTAATGCATGTTTCTCTTATTTGTGCCTGTAATAAACCTGCGTTAATTGTGAAACGGTTGTCCGTTTTTTTAAGCATTTCCGCGAAAAGAAATTGAATCCCGCGTTCAAGTACACGTGGTTTCCAAGATGTTCAAGTGTCGTCATATTCGTGTATCCAGCATTTGTCACGTGCTTATGCTAATGATGACTTGCTCATTTTTGCTTTGGAACGGTGAGGAAATGATGAATGTGAGTTATTTTTTTATCAGACGAAAACTGAGGATAGCATTTTTTTTCAGACATTGAAGGACTTCAGTGTTATGTTGGATTTTCGGTGGACCACTTGGGATATCTTCGAGAATGTAATGCTGGTGTTCCATGTGTCACGACGTTCAACCCAACGGGTAAAAAAATCATTAACATGATGCATTATGTTTTATGTCTGGATATATTTATACTGTCATTCGGAGGGTTTGATTATATTGTATTTAAGAATGTTTTTAATGAAAGTGTGTTTGAAAATGTATCAAAGTACGCATCAGCGGCATGAATCCACAAGGAAAACGCCTGTAAGCATGCGGCCACCGGATTCGATAAACATCGATTAGGAAATTACTAAAGTCTGCATTTTTATTAGCAATATTTTCCAACTGTTCATCAGACCCTTCGTGATGAAAAAACTTTATTTTCAGAATTATGTACAGTAACTCCATAGTCACAGTACAGTACTGCGTTTTGTACATTTTCTTGTGACCACTCTACCTTCTTCATTCTTCTGATGCTTCTCAGAATTCTTTGTCGTAATTGGATGTTAGGTGTCGCTGCTTTCCCATTTAAAAATGTCCTGGTCAGGTAAAAAGCTTCGGCCAAAACTGGCCAACAAAATCGAGAGGATTGGAAATATGGAACTATATTGAGAGAAAAAAGTATGTCTTTCTCCTTGAACCAATTTAAGATAAGCCCATTGTATGTCTGTACGCTTACAGGATAATGAGTAAGTATCAACTGATGCTAATAAGGTCGCTTGATTTTTTCCTTGTTAGATACAATTGAAAAGAGCTGACCTGTCCAAAAATCCTTACATTACGCATTTGTCAAATCCAGAAATACCTTTGAAAATACCTCTTAGTTTTAGACTCGGATTAGTCATGTAACTATTCTGTATACAGTACATTTCTGCCTTTATTTTCAATTTCAACAGGGTTTTTTAGCAGAGGTTGCGGAAAATATACTCCTTCGGAATACAAAATGGGAAGAATTGTCAGCGGATGCTACTATAATATGACGAAAAGTGAGAACCTTAACTTTACAGCATACAGTACAGTACTGTTCCCCTTTTTTAATTCGAAGTCTGTCGATATGTAATCCGTTTTTTCCAGGTAATGGACGATTTATTTGTGCTTGCAGTACAGACCGCTGCAATGATTGGGTCCAAGTTTCCGCCTGATTTTGCAAAAATTTTAAACCCGCTCTCTCAGCTGCAAAAGGCTGCAAACATTTTGCACTCAATTCGAAGACTTCTTTTGGGGGAAAATGGCATGCATTCGTCCATGTGTCGATAAATGCAGTGCGTTTGACACTCGGTTGACGTCCTTCATCTCTTGTTGTCTGTGCGATTCAATTTTAGCACGAATTTTTAGCGTGTCCCCCTACGGAGATTATGGTGCGGTGGAATTCTTTTGAAGCGCTGATTGAAAGATTTGATGAATAACCGGTCAAATTTTTATTTCGAATGTAAATGGACATTTTTCGGCTCTTCGTCCTACTAAATCCTTCGAATGATTCCGCAAGAAATGGGAGTGCCTCCGTTAAAAATGGCAATGCTTCGCTGACTGTCGATTTTCGCCAATCCTGCAGGAAATCGATTCGTGTCTAGGAATATATTCACTTGTCCAGTCGTATCAGCGAAGGCAGTTCTCGTCAATACTCCAACGTCGGGACCCTGAAAAATTAGTCAAACCGTGTATTCATGGTGAACTGCAAAAAAAAGGGTAATCGTTTTACAGTACAGTACTGTACTAACAAAATCAGGCCACGAAGCTTCGAGAGAATTTCATTCAAAAATTATATAAATGGAATCAGACAATTCATTCGTCTGTTCTCATTTTTTTTCATATAGAAATAGCGTTCCGTCAAATTAAAAAGAATATCACGATTTAGATCGAAAACCACTGCTGCTTCATTATGATATGCTCGATGTCGATATAGAAGAACTATTTGAGAGATCACTCACAAAAAGACCACCGGTGTTGTAAACTGGCCCGATTTTTGTGCACGCCGAAGTAATGTCCGGATTGGTGTGGATTGACACGACGAGATTTTGCGCAGCGCCTGCTACGTTCCGCACGACTGTGCCAACAACTGTGACCTGAGACCCGGAATTCCTCGAGGGTTGAAAAAAGGCGATTGTTCCGAGAATGGTGTTAACGTTGAGAGGGTCGACCATTGTCGCTGAAGCCACTTGTTCCCCCAAAATATCCGACCCTGGAATATATTCGGATTATACAGGAAATTTATAACTTGAATATGTAACGAAAGTCTGGGTACTTCAAGATGTTTCTGTTGACCACGCTCGCCTGAGCCATTCATTATGTTCCTTCAAAAATATCCGAACCTGAATTTTAGGGATTTCGGAAAATTTGAAACGTGGATGTGAAGGGACAATTTTTTTCCGATAAGAGCTCTTGAATTTTCAGCCACTTGTTCCCCCAAAATATCCGACCCTGGAATATATTCAGATTACAGGAAATTTATAACTTGAATATGTAACGAAAGTCTTGGTAATTCAAGATGTTTCTGTTGACCACGCTCGCCTGAGCCATTCATTATGTTCCTCCAAAAATATCCGAGCCTAAATTTTAGGGATTTCGGAAAATTTGAAGCGTGGATGTGAAGGGACAATTTTTTTCCGATAAGAGTTCTTGAATTTTCAGCATTATATTTCTCCAAATATTATGCATTGCCAAACACAGCAGTTCATTGGATGTTGGCCCAACCTCTAGGACTTTCAAAATATTCTCGTTGGAAAGGGAAACTCTCGGAGTCCTGATGATGCTGGAGAATGCTCTTAAATACGGTGGGGCTCCGAAATGCGGACGTAGTTGGTTCTATTGGTCCTGGTCCCTATACTGTATGTCGGATCGTCCGCATGTCGGATCTCGTGTCCCAATAGACTTCAATGCGGACATTTACGATTGGTTCTTCTATTTTAAAAAATTGGGTATAAAGAACCCCTAAAAATGAAAGTTTTTTTCTCTACTTCGAAGATACAGAAAATGTTTGTTCAGGAGAAAAACTCACAGGATCTGACCTTTTGTCATGAAAAGGAGCTGAAGAAGAAAAGAAAAAGAACTATGTGTATATAGCTATAGTGTGCACACATGCTGAAAAAAAAACTCAAAAAAAGAAGCACAAAATTAGCTAGTTTTTGGATTAGGAATCAAATTAATTTTGGGATGAACTTCAGTTGGAAAATTTTCTTGATATAAATGGCTCAATTTGTTCGAGATTTCAAATTTAGAAGAATACAATTTCCAAATGTTTCTAGAAATGTCTTGCGTATGTCAAGACATTGTCCGGAAGTTGGGACTGATTGTTTTAAGCATCAAGTGTCCATTTAAGTCGAATTGTCCATACATTGGGGAATCCCTAGGTTGAGGTCCCATCACCCACTATCGAAAAAAGCACGGTGCAATATTGTAATGCAATTGGAACGTTTATTTGAAAAAATAATTTTTTGATATTTACCTTAGCTTTCTGTCGGGACTTGAAACAAGTTTGTTACATTAAAAACAGTTGTAACGGTATATATCGTAACGAAATTTTACTGTTTACGCTTGATCCGAACATTCAAATACAAGCTATGATAATCATCTTAAATTTTTGGAATTTGAGTTTGTTAAAAAATTAAATTTCAACCAGATATCTCAAAGCAAATGCTGAGAACCTGAAGCAACTCACCGAATAAACCATCCCCGTAGCGAAAATCTCGCTGATTATCAGCAGAGAGATAGGGAATTACAGCACCAACACTAGGATTTTGCAAAGGCAGTGGTGCAATGTTGGGACCAAGAAAAGATAATCCTGATTCTGGGCTGAATGCCAATTGTCTTTCTCGTCTGCGAATCTCCTGAAACGGTGGCGATCCAAAGCTTTGATCGGCCAACAAAATAAACAAAATCACTGCCTGACGAAACATGATTACAGTACACAGACCACGTCTCCTGCAGAAAAGGCAGCAATATGCATGATCAAATTTCACTGATGAAATGTAAAGAAATGAAAAACCTTCAGATTCATCACTGGAAGTCCGCACGTCGAAATTCTGTAAAAACTGACGATAATTGCCTGGAGATATCTAAATTTTTCCGAGTCAAAAATTGACTCCAGTAATCGACTGGATGCTAAGACCATGATCTATTTTCTGTGAGCTTGAGACTGGTTCTGGACCTACCGGATTTCTCCCCGTTCAATGAACTTCAGGCTAATCACCTCTAGCCTCGGGGCAAAATACCAAAACTCAATTACATTCCCGCTACTAAAAAAAAATAAATATACGGTAGATACATTTAATATCTCATCGTAGCTCAGATGATAAACGGATGAAATATTCCAGAATTAAAATAAAAAACAATATTACGCGAAATAGATGATCAAATTATGAATCGTCGTGTTTTGACCAGCTCCAGCTCTGAAAAAAGTACCCTAAAAACAATTTTCTCTCTGTGATCGTGGAATGCAATATTTGAAGAAAAAACAAAACAAATTAGACAGTTATTTTCTCCAATCAACAGCAGCTTTTCCTTCAGATGTACAGTACAATATATTTAAACAGCCGAATCCCAAATACAAGGTTCATTCCCACTTCAACGGACAAGAAAATAAATTAAGATGAAATTCTCAAGATGATGCCGACTTTCACAACAAAGAATTTGTCGTTTGGATCACACCACAAGCGATTGGGGCAATGGGGTTGGCATTCATGTCGTAAACAACAACAGATTTCCCAATGATGCTCGTGTCACCATAAAGCGTCATCTGGAACAAGGATCTGTCGTTGACGTAAAAAGAAGACGCTACTCCATTTGCAAAGGAAATCCGCTTTGCAATGATTCCGCCATCTTGGACCTGAAATGTAATATATGCGCAAAAGCGGCTTGTGATGAGTTGCACGAAATTAATTTTGATGCTTCGAAAATGGATGTACATTCAATTTTTTTTACGTTGAATTTTTCTGTCCAGGAAAGCTTCTTTAGCTTGGCTAGCTGTTCTTTCCACAAATTTAAAAATCAGAAAAAACTAATGAATGAATCTATATACCCAGGTGATGAAGTTTCCCAGTGTGTTTTTTCGTCTCCAAAGCAATAAAAATGATGTCAACGAATCGAGTGAAGATATGAATTAAATTCAGTAAATTCTGCATCGAATATTCTTGAACGTTTCAGTTACCTATACAGGACACTTCATTTTTTGCAAATTAATCAACATTCTCTCGTCCATCCTTATTTTTTCAAACCAAGAATGTCCCATATTGAATTCTAACCTCATATGAAATGCTAGGAAGATAGAAAAATCGTTGACTTCACCTTCCCTTCATATTCTCTCATGATTTTGCTTGCTAAATTTGAGATGTGCCGATGTAGGATTAGTTCTTCTGTCTTCCGCTCAACTTTTTCTCTTGAAAGATTCTCTCGCACATTTTTTTTACAATTTTTGATGCATTATTGTCTCACTACTCGTGCCAATATTTGACTGTCACGCTAACAATTTTCTGCAAAACTTTTCTCATCTGTTTTTTTTTCTTCTGGAATTATGTGAAGGAAGAAACCTCGGAGCATCTCCTAATGAATACACATCAGTCCTCCAGCAGTTTGTAAAGCATGATTTACAAAAATGTACTCATTCTGGTGAAGTTTGTTGTTTTGATATTCTAGAACAAACTCATATTCTGTACGGTTTTTTATAGAGAAGTAATATTTGAAGCCGTACACCTTGTTTTAAGTTTTAATGTGGCTTGATTAAATTTGTGAAGAAAGATTTGGAATTATAATTGTCAGACAAGATCTAGATGAAGATTTTCTAAGAATGGATAAATGAATTCAACACGACAATTGGCCTGTGCGCAAACCGACCAGGGATTCTCTCCCAAACAGCGCAAGCCTTTGTTCAAATTGATAGGTAAGTTTTAACAATATAAATATGCACAACTGTTTTGACAGGAAAATATGCACAACAGTTTTTGCGGACTTGTAAATTTTTAGCAAATACGAATTTCGAGAACACAATATAACGCTTCGCACACAAAATTTGGACTGTGTTCTGTCACAGGAAGTCAAGGGTCTTATATAATTTTTAAGGCAATATGGTCTTGAATCTGAGTACCTTCCCCAGTTGTTGGGTTTCCTTGAAAATACCAGGTGCTGGTGTTTTTACAACATCTGGCTGTTGATAGGCAATTTGGAAAAATATGTTTTGCTCCCCTGGAACTGGGTGTTTTCTTTTAGCTCGTAAATTTTTACAAGGCTGCGCAGATTTCAAAGACAAGTATTTTACAAGGCTGCGCAGATTTTGAAGACGAGTATAAATTACTCTAGAGCTGCCTTTTCAAAAACATCTCAAAGTCAAGCGTGTTGCGTTTCTCAAATGACAAATGGTTCTCGGGAGCCAAAAGGAAAAATAGAAAATAAAGAATCCTGAGGGTCGTGGCCAGCAGCTGGCAAAATTTGGACCCTCTTTAACCCAAAGGAGACAAATGGGGGTCATATGACCTCCTTGCTAAATAATAAGAAAGAAAAGGGGATCGATTGCTAGAGAAGGAAATTGTTTTTCAAATGTTTACAGTCGTTTTTTGTCTTGCCGCCCCGTCAGGGGGATTATTTTGCAGTATTTCGAGACGCGTCCCGAGACGCGCCAATTGAGTTTCAAGAAACTCGTTTCTTTGTTACCCTTTTCAGGGATTTCATGACTGTTGTCAAAGTCGGCGGAAAAATTCCGCACATATTCGTCAACTCTGTGGCTTCAAAAGTCTAAAAGAAACGCGATCTGGAAATTATATCAGGGAGCTGAAAACTCGTAGTCTAATTTTAAATTGAAAGAATGTCTAAATCTTCTTCATTCATGTGTTTTTGTACAGTATTTTTTATCAAAGCGTGGAAGGGAAACAATCCTTCTTTATAAGAACTATTGAATCGAGTCATACAAAAACACTGCGGAATTTTCAGGGTTCATCACTGCTTCAAGCTGAAGAATTTACTTTCAAAAACCATTTGAAGATTTTATTGAAGAAACGCCATTAGCGTAAACATTAATTTCAAACCACGGAGCTCGGAATTTGATAAATTTTAATCACTCTTGAAAAATAGTTCGAAAAGTATTAATGATAAAAACGAAGTCGGAGCTTTTTTGTAAGATTGTTCACCAGTTTATAGCATAAAATATTTTAAAACTTCAAGCCATGTTCTTTCTTAATAACTCTTGAATCAAAAGAACATCCAATTATATTCTCGTTTCCCATTTATCAGTCAAAAATTAAAACTTCTGGCGTTTAGGAACACTTTTCGTTTGTTCCATCAATCATTGATCTATGACAGGTGGGCCCAGCATAAACCCGTTTTGACATTAGCTATAATCAAAATCTCTAAATTTTCTGACACAGATCTTATCTCTCGTATATATGCACTCACAGAAAAAATAAAACAAATTAGCTTACACCAGTGGGATTGTATATGCGTCCAACTTGAGCACAGTTGTTGGTGACGTCTCCATTGCCATGAATTTCCACTCTCAGGTTGGTTTGAGTCGTTACCACGGTTCCAGTAATGTCAAGAGAACTGAACGGAGTTCTTTGGAAGAAATAAAATGCTCCAATAATATTGTTGCCGAACATCATGATGGCCCTGGCTAATGGAGGTTGGTTGTATCTCAGGGGGTCATTCCTGGGGTTCTTTTCATCGGCAATTCGCTCAGACTCCAACTCGTTGGCATCACGGAACAAACTCAGTTTTGTTTGCAGTTGGTCTTTTGCCTTATTCGGAGCCGCTGGAAATAAAAAATAGAACATTATTTTTAATGCCACACCTATTTCTAAAAATAAAAAAAAATCAGCAACCGCTTCAAATACGAGGGGTTACACGTTTCCGCGCGGACTCGTTTCGGCGCGGAATTTGAATGATCTCTGAACACTGGGGATTTTAAAAACATTTGTCTCATGTTCACTAGTTCCAAAGAGGCTAGGCAGACACCTTTTTGATGTCATCAACACCAGTTTGTACACACTCATCGGCCCATTCGATCCATGTGTTGAACCAGGCCTTGAAATGTTCAGTTGTTCAATTTTGAAGCTTCCCCTATAATCAGCAGGAACAAGCTTATCCGCGTGGTACCGTGTAACCCCTGAATTGAAATTTCTTGGCTGTCTGCCTTTAATCGAGGCTTTCATCAGCTATTTACTTTGATTCAACTGTAAAACTATTTGGTTTAAGTTATAGAAAAACGTGTTTTGATGACAGTCGCTGTTTTCCAAAGGAATTTGAACATATGATTAATAATTTCAAGAGCAATTTTTCTCGTGAGGACAGATGATTTTTAAACATTGAAGTGCAAAAAATATGCTGGGAAAACGTTCCTTTCCTGGCGTAATGTGCGAACCATTCAAGGAAGAAAATTCATGAAAATTTGGAGAAAAGCCAGTTTTGATTATTTGATACAGTATTTGGCTGATAAATTATTTGGAAATCTTAATAAACTTTATTTGAAATATGAGAATTGATGTCGAAAAAGAAAAGAAAGGAACTAATTAATTTTACTGAGGCAACGGTGTAAATTGAAATTATTTTATATAATCACGTAATTGCCGATTATAAATGGTGAAACATTTATTTTGATTCATTTAGGATACAGTTGTACTTATTGATCCGCCAATTTTGTACATAAATCGACATCATTGTAAGATTTAGATTTTAATGCTGA